GGCTGAGCTGCTCAGCAGTAGGACAGTAAAGTCTTTAAGCTTGCTTTAAACCTCAACATCATTCATTACAGATCATATGTCTGAGTACTTACTGCCAGCAAATAAGCACTGACCTTGAGCTGTATTTCTTTAAGATGGATTCCAAAATGTTTACCAGTTCCTCAGAGTTAATGAACTTTTGGGTGCTGAGCGTGTACATTTTTTCATAGAAGTCAGCAATTTCCATCCGAGCCTGAACAAAAAAACAGAGCTGTTCAGACAGGTGAGAAAGCAGCTCTTCCAAGTGAGGAGCTGTTCCTCCTAGTGCATTGCGACCCGTCGCCACCACCTTCTTCAGCTCATTATGCAGAGATGTGTAGATGGTTCGGATGGAGTCCTTTCGGCTGAAGAATGACTGACCACCTGTTCAGATAAATATGGAGGTATTACCAAAATCCAGGGACAGCAAAGATAGACAGCAATACTGGAAAACTGTATATAACCATGCTTGTTTTTCCCTAAGTGTTTGTAAGTATTGTTTGATCAGTCTTTTTTAAAAATCAAGAAACAAATGTCAGTGTATCATTTTGCAAATAACTGAATTACACAGAGGATATACTCAGAAGTACTTCACGTAATTTCATGCAAGTTACACTCGTCCTAATTCCTATCTCAGCGGCCAATAACTGCTGCAAAACTTCATCTCCCTCACATCTGCCTCAGTTATGACATGACCTCTCAGAAAACAAGGGTTCAGTTAAATTTGCTATAGTGATACATGACCTGGAAATACTGTTATCTGTGGAAGTCAGATGAATCGACTCATGAAATTTTAATAGCCTCCACTGCTATTAATAAGTCTAGATCTTTTAAAGAGAATTCCCCTAACAATACCTCTTCAATCACAAAGCACTCACATTTGCAAAGCAACCTTTAAATGGGAATCATATGTCATTTTTGTGTACAAACCAAATGTTTCAAGTCCCTACACAATCTTAATATAAACCAGAATTCAAATGCAAAACAATCACAGTTTCTCTCAGTGAGACCACAGTGCAGGTTAATCCATAACTAAAACTGGGGGGTGGGGCGGCGGGCAGGAAAGTAGTCATCAGTACTTCTCTCTACCTGCTCAACACTATGAGGAATTTAAAAAAAGAAAAAAAAAAGACAAAAGCAGAGGCTCTACGTAAAAGATATTTAACTTTGATACTACCAAAAGACTGTACAAAGGTACTACCCTTATTTCATAATTTCTATATACAGACGGCCTTACGTGCTGCTGTGGCACTCAAGAGCTTCAGTGGAGAAAGGATCATGGGGACTGAATCTGTGGAACTTTTAAAGAGACTCCAAATTTAGGTTCCACTTTAAAACTGCTTCTAAGTTTTGTAATGGTGCATAGTCCTTTTCACATCCATTTTACACATATAACATTCAAAAGTGACCTTAGCAATTTGAGGCAGAAAGGCAGAGAATTGGTTATCATGGTGAAACAGCTACCTTCCCAAGGCAAGAGTTGCCCCCAGGTCACAAGCAGGATGAAGAATAATCTCTTGCTGTCGATCATGAAGTATATAAACAAACAAAACTTTGTCCCTTCTGTTGGGAATTTTGTCCTTTCTGCAAGCACCAAGTTCACTTTTTAAAGTCAGACTAATAGACAGTTTTGTCTGTAAAGATCGTCTTATAAAATAGTTCCAAGTCACCACTTAAACACCAAAGCTGAATTTTATTGATGCTTTACTGCATTACACATCAGACTCATATCCCTTGATCCATTTTCCATGCCAGTCTGCAGTTCAAAGAGAAAATAAGCAGCTTTGCCCAAAGGGCAACATGATGACAGCTTGTCCTATGCCAGTTTGGGATTTTTTTCTATTCACACACTGAGAGAATGAGAAGCAGCCAAGACTGTGGCCAAAACTTCCTGAGATCCTGCAGAGTCTGCATGAATAACAATTTTTAGGAGACTGTCTCCGGCCCCAAGTACTTACGTGTTGTACTTACACATATGCAGCTCTAATATTAGGCCCTGGAACTGTGACATGAAAAAGCTTTAACCCTTTGATTACCTCACGGAGCTCACCTTTGCCAGAATCTCAGCCAGAGCATCCCAGCACAGAAACACTTCTGCCTAAATCTTGGGAATGGCAGGTAGGTAGCCTACCAACCAATAAAGAGATGCACCTATTTGCACAGCCACTGTGACACCTGCCCTCTCATTTACTCTGTAGGGGCAGCCCAAGCGGCACAGCCCATTTCTCACTGGGCCCACGGGCCCCTGCTGACCCAGCACCTGCGTTTCAGACCGGGAGACACACATCTCACCGAGGCCTGGGTCCTCAGGTACCTCGCATTGTGCAACTACCCGTCGACAGATTACCTCACAGGGCTACCTCGGCCTCCCGCTCCCTACCAGTGACCTCAGGCGTGAGTGAGGGGCGGGGGACAGGGGGCCCGAAGGATGGGGGGAATGGAGAGGGACAACCACGGACAACCACCCACACCCCCCACACCCCCCCGGGACGCGAGGGGCGGC